GTACTGTATGTATATAAATACCTTCCTCCTACATTGTGTTCTGTGTCATTCCTAAATCTTCAGTGTTCGTCATAATGTGACTAACGGCTCTGACCCCAGGTTTCCTCTGTGGACGTCTCCCATCAGTCCGTGGACCAGGGTTTGTTCCACGTGCTGCTCCGAGCGTCCCTGTCTCTGTCCTCCATCAATAACCTGCTGCACTCACCTGCTGAGAGGACACAGGGGGAGGAGGAGGAGGAGGAGGCGCAGCTGGGGCTGCAGCTGCTGCAGGTCGGACTCATTGTACATTAGATTGAATTAAGTCACGATGATTAATACGTTTATCATTTATGTCATCGTCGTCTGTTATTCATTTCTCAAATTCATTCTTTTTAAAATGGTCCTCCGCCTCCTGAATGTGACCTCCTTCATCTCCAGGGTCTGTCTGCGGAGCTGGCGACCCTTGGCGATGAGCTGAGCTCGCGGGGGTCAGAGGTCACGGCTGTCCTGGGGTCGGGGTGTGGTCGTCGGTGTGTTGATGACCTGAGCAGAGTCCTGCCTGTGGTCCAGGCTGCACTGAGCGGCCGACAGAAGCAGCTGAGGAACCTGCAGGAGGAGACGGCACAGCAACGGGTCCGGAGACTGTTTCATATCTAACACAAACAACAACAATGAAACATTCATAACAATAATTACAACAATAATTCATGATCTACAGTTTTGATTTGAACTTTATCAGCACTGATGTGAGTGAGTTATCCGACTAAAAGAACTTTTCTTGTTCGCTCAAACGTTTGCTGTCTGCACGTCGTTGACAGAATCAGTGTCGTCTGTCTCTAAACCAACAGAGACGTCTCACAGAGTTGCATGCAGCCTTCACCTCTAACCAGTCGACTGTTCGTCAAATAATCACAGACGTCAGTGGAACTCTGGGAGCCAGTGAGCAACTACAGGTACTGTTTCCATGGAGACGAGTATCTGAGATACGAACACTCTTACTGACTGTCTGGATTTTCACCTTACTACTATTAACAAAGTGTAAATAAAGATGGAGGACTCGCCTCTACTTTTTCCTGTCATATAGAAATGAAGCCTCCTTCTTGCAGCACTGACGTCATTATGAGTCGCTCGGGGGGCGGGGTTTGCTGCGGTGTGGAGGTCGTGTGTGTAATTCATTGATGTTTGTGATGTGCAGGCTGTGATGCAGGTGCAGGATTCTCTGCAGCAGCAGGTGGAGCAGGTGAACTCTCTGCTGGAGGAGGCGGAGCAGCACAACCTGCCGTCCTCTCTGATCCACCAGGCCACACGGCTGCAGGTACGCCAGCTGCTGCATTCTACTCCTGGCTTTCGGTGTTTTGGAAATTCAACTGCACCTGAAGAAGAGAATAATTCGTCCTGTCCCTCCTGTGCGCAGGGTGAGCTGGACACATCTCTGGGTGGCGTTGGCTGTCGCTGCGAGGAGCTGAGGAGCAGCGTGGAGCTGCAGCAGCTGTACGAGCGGCTGGTCCGCAGCCTGGAGGAGCTGCTCGCTCTGGGCTCTGAACGCCTCACGTCCGAGTCAGAGCTCCAGAGCAGAGCTCGGCTCCAGCAGCAGCTCAGCGCTCACACGGTCCGTGAGAGGCTGAGAAAGCGTGTCTAATGTTTAAATTAAGAATAAAATCCTCAACACAATGTTCTGTTTCTTCCATCAGAAGTTCTTTCAGTTCCTGGGCCATCACTCCAGGATCCTGCAGTACCTGACCTGGAGGCTCCCAGAGGACGCCCTCCAGAGGTGGGACGCCGTCACGACGGGCCTGCAGGACGAGGCGGCCCGACAGCAGCAGCGCGCTCTGGAGACAGGAACCAGGATGCAGGAAACATTACAGGTAGAACGTGGAATGTAGTTTAAATACTTTCTAAGGGAACGAGACGTAAAGCAATGAAAGATGAACTCAACAACGAAAAGTTTGTTTATATTCAAACACTGGAAAGTGAACAAAGCTTAATTTGGGATTGATGAAGACGCATGCAGATGTGTGACAGCAGGATTTATTCAGACCTCATCATTTCTACGTCAGGTGTGGTCGCAGTGGGAGGAGGACGGTGCCTGGGCCGACTCCCTGCTGAAGGAAACTGCCACTTCATTTCCCAAGAGGCACCAGGGGGGTGACGGCAAGGAGCTGTTGTCTGAGGAGCTCTCCGGCCTCCAGGTAATTTTTGTTAATACGTGTGTTCTTTCAGACCGACACTGGGATAATTCTGATTTACCAACAGACAGCCGAGCGGAGGACAGAGTGCATTTTGCAATTTTCCGTCGTGCTCATTTGGGCGCTCTCTGCATCCCGTAATTGGCTCAATTACGTACAAGCGGATTGGTTGTTTTCTGTAGTGGGACATGATGTTCCTCGACCTTCATGTGAGTTATTAACCGAGCAGAGGCTGAGACTAGAATTCATTTTGGTTCATATCCCCTGTTGCTCTGCTGTGGGATTGGAAACATCGCTCGTCTGAGGAGGACCAGGCGGAGTTAACGCAAACTAACCTGAGATTCTTCTCACAGCACATGAGCGTGAGTTTAAATCTGCCAGAGGTTCTGTACGTGAGAACACAAATGTCAGAGTCCGTTGCTCCGGACATTTTTCTGTAACGTTTCCTGCAGCGCCCTTGTGTCTGTGAGTCTATGTGAGAATACAGCAAGTGGGCGTGTCGATGAGGTTTCTAACACGTGACAGACGTGAAACTGGAAGAACACAAATATTTCAGGGTGAAGACGGAGACGTCCACTTGGAAAGACGAGGAGGTTCCAGATGTTTCTGTGATGAGGGCGGACGGCGGCGTGGACGAGCTGTAAACAACAACACTGATCTTTACACAACACGATTTATACGTCATGTCCCGCCTCCTGCTGCTCTACAGGCTCCACCCCTCGCCTGAACCTTCCCCAGTGTTTAGCTTCTTTTAAAGACACTCCCTCTCGGAGTAAAAAGTCCAAACAAACTATTCAGGTGAACACGGTGGTTCAACTCCAGCTAAAAGTAAACTTCTGTTTCGTTTGCTCGGCCGCAGCTTGGAGACGTTCTGCAGGAGAACGAGGCGCGGTTCAGTTGGATGCTGGAGGCGGGGCTACACCTGCAGAGGTGGGGCTGTAAGGGAGTGGGTTTGGCCACCGGTGAGCTGGAGGCGCGATGGAGGGCCGAGCACCAGAGAGCGGACAGTGAACGCACCACGCACGACCGAGAGAGGAAACTGAGAAACAGGTGAGAGACGAGGACGAAAGAAAAGTTCTGCAAAGTTTGAAACATAAAATATTCCACATGTTCAAAGTTTGAACATATATTAGTTTAGTTTTTATTCAAATTTCAGAATAAAAAACTTCCATTTCTAAATGCAAGAGAGTTATTTAGCTGACACCATTTTGTGTCTGATGCTTTCATCCCATTTCAAATATCACAATTTTAAAACAGGTTTGTTCGTGACTCTGCGGCTCTGACCGACTGGACGCTCGGGGCCAGAGAGCTGATGAGCACATGGAGTCAGCTCGGCGTCGCAGCCTCGGAGGAGGAGATGGAGGTTGAACAGAGGCACGAGCGCTTCCTGCAGTGTGTGGTGAGACCGAGCTGGAGAAACTCACACACTTCTTAAATAACACACTGAGAAGAAATCATTCAAACAAGAAACATTTCCACTTCAGGCTTTGAGCCAGCAGTTGGAGTCCAGATGTGAACTGAAGGTGGCCGTGATCGGAGCCGGATCTCAGCTGGTTCAGCTGAGGGAGGCGTTGGGACGCTCGGGTTCAAACCTGGACGACAGCGAGACTTCGGACCCACGCCTCTGCTCCGTCTTCTCCCAGCTCCGACAGACGGAGGCGGACTGGTGCAGTCTGGTCGCTGAGGTTCCTGTCGTCCAGAGAGCTCTGCACAAGGTGAGGAGATTCTCTGTGTGACGTCAGTCACGTGGAGGTTAAACACAGGATCCAGCAGAGGAGCGGAATTTAGTTTAGCTTTATTTCAGACTCACAGGTCTGAAGACTTCCATCAAAAACACAAACATTTATTCCAGTGTTGTGATGAGAATTTGGTGGTTAAAGGTCAAAGGTCGAGGTCACTGTGACCTCACAAATCATATTATTTGCCCTCTGGTTGAGTTTCACGTGTAGCTGCACCAAAGTTTTATCTGAACATCATCTGAACACACTTTCCAACCCCTGACCACGACAACAAGAGGACACGTGTGTTTCTCCTTTTGTGTGTCTGGTGTCAGAGTTCGTCTGCAGCCTCACACAGTTTCCAGAAAGCGTCCTGCTGCAGGCGTCCTGTCACCAATTAGCTTTAAACATCCCACTGTGCAGCACAATGCCACAATCCTGAGGACTCTTCTCGCCCGGTTGAGGATCTGTCTCCATTTACGTCTCTTCTCCTTCACCTTCATCATTTTCTTCCACTCTCTCGTCCTCCGAGCTCTGTCTCTCTCCTCTCAGCGCTCCTCCTCTTCCTCTCCTTCATCCCTTTTCATCTGCCTCTTCCTGCTGTCCTTATTATTTTCGGTTCTCTCTCTGCCGCTCTTCTGGTTCCTTCTCTTTCTTTTTCCTCCGGTGGCCCTTGTCTTTCCTCCTCTCTCTGATTTTCGTTCTCTCACTCACCTTTTTCGGTTTCAGATTTATTTTTCTCGAAGGAACGGGAACATTTTTCTAATTTACATTTAAATAGAAAAAACACGTTCAGATGAAGAAAACAACTTCATCAATTTGACGACACAAGGCTCCACACCTGCAGGTGGCGCTGTGATGTGGATGGAAGGTGTAGATGAAGTCATTTTAAATAATGTGTGAATATAAAACTTGATTAAAGCCCCCCCCCCCCCTTAGCGTTGGATGGAGATGCTGACCCAGCAGGGGGCGCTGCAGGAGCTGCAGGGCTTGCTCGGATGTGCTGAGTCCCGGCTGGAGGAGAATCTCAGCAGCATCAAGCGAACGTCGTCCACTCACTCTGATCTCAAGCAGCAGCTGAGATCCTGCAAGGTAGAGACGAGCGGGAGCGTCCTGATTAACGAACGAATGAAGGTGTTCAGTCAGTGCTGAGATGTTTCTGCTCCACTCCTCCATCCATGACCTTCCTCTCAGGACTGTCAGGTGGAGCTGTCCTCCCATCAGGCCACGCTGGACCTCGTGAACCGGCCGTCGCAGACCTGCAGTACCGAGGGCTGCCAGACGGGGCGCTATGAACGCAACCAGTTTGCAGAGGAGCAGGGTCGTCTCAACCACCGGTGGCTCCGGTTACAGGAGACGCTCGACTCTCAGGTCAGGAAACGAAGGTCACGCGATCCCGACTCAAGGGCCCGCCTCTCATCACATGGTGTTCATCAGTGGGCGGAGTTTACTCTGTTGTCATGGAGATCTGTGTTAGCTTGAAAACTGTTGTTTGACAAATTAATTCCAACTTTCATGGTTTTAAAGTTTGACTTTTATATTCTAATAAATACATTTTGATTTGTTCCTTAAAATAAATAAATAATAATGAAATAATCTAAAATAATTAATAAATAACTAATCTTCATATAATCATTTTAATTTAGTTTAATTGTGTGTCTGACTGCGTTGTTCTGTGATTTTCAGATCCAGGAGCTGGAGCAGGATTTGCGGAGCAGAGCGGAGCGGGAGGCTCGACTGCAGCAGATCAACACCTGGATCACGGAGCAGAACCTCTGGATGGACTCGGCCCAGACGCCGAGCAGCCAGACGGAGCTGCAGAGGAGCATCAACAGCTGCCAGGTCAGGAGTCACATCTGCACGCTCACATCTGTGCAGGCAAACCAGAACACTCCAAACTATAACTTATATTTTACTCCTGAAGACGAGAAGGCTTTTGCAAAGAAATAAATAAAAAAATTTAAAAAGTCTGCATATTTAAATCCACTCCCGTCTGTGTGCCAGAGTCTGGAGGAGAAGATCCGGCTCAAAGCTGCAGCTCTTCAGGAGCTGAGAGACAAACTCTGTGACGGACGAGGAAGCAGTGACTTGATCTGCAGGATTGATGAATCCATCCAGATCTGTGCAGCTCTCACACAGCGGGTCAGTGACACGTAGAACCAGAGCTTGTAGAACTGCACTGGTGCCACGGTACCAGAGGTAGGAAGAAATACAAATACCTCATCAGCGTACTTATGTGGATGTTTCAGGTATCTGTACTTTATTTGAGACTTTTGAACACAAATATCTGAACCCTCTCTTTGTGGTTTATTTTGAATCATCGAGCACCAACAGATTTCCACCGAAATCAACAATTACACAGAAAAGACGATTCCTTGTTGCGCGACGTAAAAAACAAATCAAGATGAAACAGACAAGAGAAGGAGATCAGAGGGTCTTCAGAGGGAAACGTCGCAGAGCTTGTACTTATTAACTTGCGTGAACAGGTTGAATCAGTACTTATACTTCAAGTATCTGTACTTCCACTTGACCACAGAATGTGCGTACTGTTGCCGCCTCTGTTTCTCCGTCTCACCGGATCCTCTCCTCGTCTTTTCCAGAGCGACTCTGTGAAGCGGAGGCTGATTGGGGCTCAGCGGCTGTGGGACTGTGTGGAGACGAGTCTGAATCAGATGATGCAGAAAACGCTGAGAGTGTCTCAGACTCTGGTTTATCACAGCGACCCTCAGCTCTGCCTGCAGGCGCAGAGGCGTCTGCACGAGCGGCTGCAGGTACGACTCCTGCTTCATCTCTAACAAATGAACCAGTCATGAGTGAACTGTCGAGCTCAAGCCTCCGCTAAGACTCAACAGACCTCAACAGGTTTTTAACTGTATGTGTTTCAGCTCCCATTAAACCATATTTAAATTTGTAAGAGACAGATTTTTATTTGGATTTTCACCAAATAACTAATTTTGTTTACCCTGGAATTCATAAATCATTTCACCTAATTTACTAATCCTGCAGAAAGACAAACAGATGATCTATTTTCTTTCTTTTCACTGTTTTAATGTTTGTTTTTAAAATGAAGCATGTGACAGATCGTGCTGCTGCTGGGGGACGATACTTTACTACTTTAATACTTTAATACTTCTCTATGATTACTTCTTATCACGGTTCAGTCAAAAGTTGGAAACAGAGAATGACAGTAAATGGAATTGAGCAGAACCAGGAAATAAAATGTTCTATCAGAGCAAACATTCGTCAAAGAAAGAAGAAATAAATATGAAGCAGATGGAGAAATAGCAAACTTAAAAATAATAAATGTTGACATTTCATTATATAATTACTCTGCAGGATCGTACATCTCTGTCAGAATGAGTCTGCTACTTTACTGTGATTGGTTTGTTTTAGTTTGGCAGCAACAGACGCTGACATTTAAACTCAAGGGAACTTCACAGAGGCTTTGGTTTCCATTTATCTCATCCACATTAGATGAAAACTCAAATACCGGTTTATTAAATGGTTGAATTGTAATGTCATGTTTATTTAATTGATGATTCATGTTCAACTCTTGATAACTGGTGTGTTGTTGTGTGGAAGCAGCTCCTTCATGAGGAGACAGAAGCTGCAGAGTCTCTGAGGGACAAGCTGAGTCAAAACGTCTTGTCCCTCAGAGACATCATCAGTCCTTCGGCTGCTGCACTTCTCACTGAGCGGCTGGACAGACACACACACAGGTGAGACACACACACACACACACACACACATAAAGGTGAGACACACACACTCACTCTGGTGTTTTTCAGTTGGACCGTGGCGTCTGGATCTCTGCACCAGCAGCTCCAGAGGAGTCAGAGGCTCCTGCAGGCCTGGGAGATCTACTGCGGCCTGGAGGCGTCTTTCTCCCGACGGCTGCAGAAGCTGCAGAGCGACGTCACGTCCGCTCTGAGCGCGGCGCCTGCGGACGACAACAGCACAGAGCAGGTCGCCGTTAAAATTGAAAAGCTTCAGGTGAGAGGAGAACATCTGCAAAGGGAAACTCGTCAGCACGTCTGACATGAAAACATGAAAACAAGTGTGTCACAGATGCAGTGTCTTCATCACACCTCCACTCTCTGGAGACTGAAGCGCGGTTGAGGCGCTACATGTTTCAGGTTATTGCTTTAAGGCAATGTTTGCAGAGATCTGCAGTAAACTTCATCCATTACCGTGGAAACCTTTGTTTGGTGGATGGAGCAGCCTCCTCCCCAGAGGGAGAACAACTTCTGACATCAGAAGGTGGAAAACTCAGATGTGAACAGCTCAGGACAGATGTTCATGCCAGATGTGAACAGGGCCTGTGAGAGGTTGTGGAACATCCTTGGAAAGATGGCGAGAGAAGCTTTGGTTAAGATTTATTCCATCAAAGTTTTTCTATTAGCGCTGGAACATTCACACGGTGGAAAAAGAAAAACATTTGGCTCCTTGGTTTTGGAGACGAACTAATTGAATTTGCTGTTTTCGTGTGTTCGTCTGTCTCCGTTTCTTAACCCTCAGTTCCTCGGGGACAGATCTTTGAATGTCTCGGAGTCTTCAGCTGAAGGTTTTACTCTTTCATCTCTTTCCAGAGTCTCCTGCAAAGGGCTGACACTTCGCAGTGTGACCTGCAGGGGGTGCTGGAGGCCTCCAAGGACTTGGTTAGTCACCTGGAACCTTCGGCCGCTGCTCTGGTCCAATCAGAGAGCAGGTTGTTGTCACGTGGTGTCCTGCAGCTCATTCAGAGGCTCACAGGGGCGTTGGCTCAGCTGCAGGTACAAGTTCAGAGGGAATCTATTGTTTCTGTGACTTTACAGCATCTCATTGAAACTTTCTGCTAATTTTACTTCTCCATAACCTGTTTATGATTCAAAAATGATGTTTTATTGCTTCTATACAATAATTTTATTCACTTTATTGTCAGTTTTCCATTGTTTATAAAGTGTCACCCCATCAGAAGGTGGAGTTTCAACTCATCGTTATGCTCTTGTGCACATTATAGCAGTGACATGTACGTTCAGAGCTCTGCATGTGTCTCAGCCTGTGCGTCACGGTGGCCTATAAATTAATCCACATAGGTCACGGTGTCACGGTGTCACGGTGTCATGTGTGTGTGTAGGAGGAGCTGAGGCAGCTGCAGGAGTTTGAAGGCGTCCTGGAGTCAGTGGAGACAAACCTGGAGGTCTGGCAGCAGCGTCTGGAGAACGTGGCTCAGACAGGAGACCAGGTGAGACGCCATGAATGGACTTTATGAAAGACTGCAGCATGGACAGCTTCGTCAAGGTGGACAGACACAACAACTCGTCTTATGGTTCAAATTCAAACTTTATTTTAATAACATGGAAATGTTTTTTTTTTTTGGGAACAAATTTAAAAAAGATGCGGCTGTCTTTGTTTCATTCAAGACAAATGATTGTGTTTTAAGATTTTCTTGAACCAGGTCTCGGTTTTTAAGAGGTGAAACCAAAAACAAATTTAAAATCAGACGAGGCAGTTGACTAGAAGGACGTAAGAGATAAAGACATGAAACTAAAATAAAATAGATTAAAATCAAACATTTTCAAACTCTTTCTGTGAACTTTAAGTTGGCTGTGACGTTTTCTGTTTCCAAATGAATATGAATCAATTGTTTAAACGTTGCTCAGACTGAGGACTAAACAGGCTCAGTCAACAGCCGTGTTTTTAGCGTGTGGTGTTTTGATCCCTCTGAGTCTCTGACGCCACCATATGTTTCCAGTCTGGCCTCCTGGAGCTGAGCGGCCTGTCTGCTGACCTGGATGTGCTCAACGAGCTGAGCTGCAGCCTGACGCTGGGCGACGCCGCAGCTCGACACCTGCGACGCCTCAACCGGCGCTGGGCCGACACCTCCGCCAGAGCTGAGGAGGCCTGCAGGTCAGTGAGGGAGGAGATCTGAGCGCACGAGGTTTAACGACATGGTGGCTCCAAGCTTCATGATGCGTCTAATCTGAGCTTTTATCAGACTATAAATGTAAATTTCTCATTTCTAAATGTGTGTGTGTTGTTTTGTGCGCTCTGGGCAGCGAGCTGCAGACGGAGTCGCTGAGGCAGCAGAGCTTCGAGCAGAAGTGTGAGAGCTGGATGTCTTTCCTGCAGAGGATGGAGGACGGTCTGGCTGTGGACGTGGCCGGATCGTACGCCGGCCTCCGACAGCAGCTCTGCACACACAAGGTATCGACCACGAGGAACAGACTCCCCGACCCTCCGCTGTCACTCTGTAGAGCCCAGACCTCCACGCGGCGGTCCCCCTCACATTCAGTCAAGCTGCACCATGTCACACACTGATCCTGGATCTGCTCCTTCATCCAGCTGCACGTCGATAAACCAACAGATCAACAGAGAGTTAAAAACGCAGTCTTTTTTTGTGGAGGTTGAAAATCCCACAGATGTAATCTCCCGGTGTCTCCTGGTGTGTTGCAGCGGTTCCAGGCAGAGCTGTCCACCGGTCACCAGATCCTCCACTCCGTCATCAGCGAAGCTCTTCACCTGCTGCAGAGAGGAGAGCTGGACGACAGGTAACGTGTTTACTTTTGGTTTCACGTCGTCGTTTTGTCTTCAATCAAGTTCTTCTAATCGTTTAATGAGTGTGTAGAAAAACGGAGTCTTCTGTTTGAATGCAAAATGAACGTTCCCGTCCATCAAACTTGATATTGTTGCAGCTGAAGACTACGACTGATCTCCTTCTTTTTCTGCAACTCAGTTAGATCCGAACCTTTCGCTCCTATCGGGTGTGAAAGAGCCGTCAAGTGTCTCCTTTGTGTAAAGACAGGAGGAGACACACAGCTTTTATTTAGATCTCAGGAGGTGAAAAGGTCAAACTTTGATTCAATCTTTACGTCTCCTCTGCTTTCCGTCAGAATCGTCTTACTGTCAATTCAACATCTTAGTTTCAGGTGAAATGTTTCCTGCAGTTTTTTCATGGTCTTCAGAGGCTGAATCCTTATTGTCTCTTCGTCTTCAAACACACGATGTGTCCGTATTTTCAGGAGTGACTTCATCCTGAAGCTGGCCCAGCTCAGGGAGCACTGGCAGGGGGCGGTGCAGCGCGCCGACCAGCGGCGCTCCCTGGTGGAGGGGCTGGTGAGGCACTGGCACCTGTACCACCGCAGCCTGAAGAAGCTGCAGAAGTTCCTGTCGGACACGCACGCCCTCCTGCCCCCCGCCGGGCCCCCCCGCTGCAGCCTGCAGCAGCTCAGACGCTCGCTGCGAGACCTCCAGGTGGGAACGAGACCTCAGGGAATTTATATTAGTTATCAAACATTAACTCTCTGGGGTCTAAGAACACTTAAGTCTTTACATTTACCTTTCGCTGACTCTACTGCAGCATGATCCCCGCGTGTTTTACTTTTTCATCCGTGGTTTATTATCACTGAGATATTTATAAAAGATCTAGAAATCTTGATTTAGATACGCACGTGCATCACAAGGTTAAATCTGGAATCATTGTCTTATTTTTCATTTAATCCAAACACAAGATTTCGTTTGTCGTTTCCACTGACGGACACAAACTGAGAGGAAGCAGCTGCTCAAAGGCTGATTTAAGATTCAAAGATTTGTTGATTGCATTTCCCTGAAAAGAAAGAGACGAGACGAGGAAACGCCTTGAGTCTTTGATGATGATGAAAGGAGCCCGAGGAGATGTGGACTGAATGAGGATGACTGTTGATTGTTACTCATCAGTGACCGTTCACTCATTTAAAACACTTTGTCAGATCTTTATCTAAATGTTGTTTTCCTCTTTCACTCGGTGTCTCCGCCTCCTCAGCACACAGAGCTGCTGTTCCAGAGGTATCAGTGCAGTTTCATCCACACGCTGGAGGTCGGCCGGCAGCTCTTTGCCATGGGGGACGAGGAGACCCAGACTCAGCTGCAGACGGACCTGGGGACCCTGCAGGACGAGTGGGACAGACTCCACGCTCAGCTGGGCCGGAGGATGGACCTCACCGAAGCCATCGTCAAGGTACTCGGCCACTTTCTGTCAAAAAATAAACTGAATTTGTTGAACTGTTTCTTCTTCGCAGCTGCAGCTCGATGTGGTTTGTCTTAGTTTTTTTATTTTCAACTTGTCCACACACCGGTTCTCATTGACTGTAGAGACATCTGGATGCCCCGTCCTCCGTCTGTCCCCTGCTCCCCCTGAGCAGCCAAGTTAATCCAATCAGCTTTAATTCACGACAGAAGATGTGTTTAGGAAGCAAAAGACAGAGGGATCGTTCTCTCGTTAGGTTCTCATTGATCAGATCGGTTGGACTGTAATTTTATTCTCTGTGTGTCTCAGAACTGGGAGCGCTGCGAGGCCGAGCTGGCGGACAGCATGCTGCAGCTGAAGGACATGAAGACCATGGTGAACCAGTTGATTCCAGAGTGGGACGATGAGCTGCAGAGAAACGAGAAATTCAACAAGGTGCAAACACCGGCTCACACGGAATCGAACAGGGAAATAATAAACCTGCAGAGACTCAGGGTCAGGAAACACGAGATGTGGTGATGAGAGTGAACAAGTGTTTGAACAGTAACAACACACACACACACACGCAGCCTTCAGGCAGTTTGAACGAGGCTGGGACATCACTCCAAACTTTCAAAGCCAAGTGTGAAACAGGTTTGACTCACAGCTCCTCCCCTCCGACCCATCACAGCCTTTATCCTCCATCCCTGCCCCTCCCTCCGCTGCCCTCTCCCCTCCCCCTGCCCG